CCTTCCCTCCGCAGACTCTCGCTCCTTAGGCTTCGCATTGGCCTGCGCCCCACCTGTTGAAATGAGCGCAGGCTCGGCCGATGGAAGTCGCAGCGGCAAGGATGAGGGCCCCAAGAAAGCCCACAGAGAGTTTCCTCAATTTGCGCAGTGTGGCTGGCCTAGTCCACCAGGCCCAAGAGGCATCTCAGAGCATGCACGCCTCATAGGTGAGGACCCGCCTCCAGAGGGTATAGGCCCTTCTCCTTGCGAGGCGGATAAAATCCTGCACAGGCTCAACGCCTATCTCGAAGTGGCCAATGACACCCGCCTGATGCCTTTGAACAGGCTCGAGGGTATGGAGGCTGCCCCCCGCAGTGGCACCCTCTAGGCATTGGCCACTTGCTCCCCTCCCCTCCCCCTCCCAATTATCATATCGTTGTTCCCCCCCCCCCCCCTTCCCACATTTTGGGTCCTTGCGGCTGGTAGTGATCCGTCTCAGGCCAGTGCTGGACTAGTGGGCACTGGTGGGGATGTGGATGGGGAGAGACGAGGATGCGGGGGGGGAGAGGTCGGGGGGCGTGTGGGAGAGAGAGATGAGAGAGGAGAACGGAAGAGAGAGAGAGAGAGAGAGAGAGAGAGAGAGAGAGAGAGAGAGAGAGAGAGAGAGAGAGAGAGAGAGAGTGAGCGCGCGGGGCCGCCCGCCGCTCGACACGCTCATGATGTTGAGCACGAGCTTCATCAAGGCGGGAGCGTTGCGCAGCGCCGCGAGGAGGGTGGGAGGCTCGAGGTCCTCTTTTTTGTTTTTGGCCTCCCCCCGTCTTGGTTTTGGCCTAGGCTGAGCTTGCTCGGCATTGGCCGTCCGCAGAAACCGCAGAGGAGGAGGAGGAGGAGGAGGAGGAGGAGGAGGAGGAGGAGGAAGAGGAGCCCCCCCCCCCTCAAAACAAACATAAGCTCTTGGGGGCGTCTTTGGGGCCTCTTGGGGCCTCTTGGGGCCCCCTTGGGTCAAGCAGTGGCGAAGCGTCCTGGCTCGCCTATAGCCTTACCAAACAAGGTTCTAAGAACCTTTTGAGGTTTCCACGAGATGTTCTTAGGACATTTCTGGCGGAGTCTGTCTTGTTTTATCACACCGGGTTAATGTTCTAAGAACATTGCTTCTGTTATTAAAACATGTTTGGGTTCTAAGAACATTTCGTGGTAGGACTATAGGAATGCCGGGACGGTCGGTCCCTGCTCACTTGGGGGCGGCTCGTGCGGGGGAGTTCTATTTGTAGAGCGGCGTGAGCCGAGCCCCGCGTGGCCGACGCGGCGTGGGGGGCCTCTGCTGGGACCCGGCGAGGCCTCCAGGGGAGCAGCGGCAAGAAACGGCCTCTCGGGGCGGGAGGCTCGGATTTTCGGTTCGTGCTCCCTCTCTGGGGTCCCTGGCGGTCCCGTCTGCCGGGCCCTCTTGGGGTCGTCTTGGGGCGCTCTTGGGCCGTCTTGGTGCCCCTCTCGGAGGCCTTTTGGGCCGTCTTGGGGCGGTCCTGGGAGCCCACTGGGCCGTCTTGGAGCGTCGGAAAGCCGGAAAAGCGAGAGCGCCAAAGTCCTTCAAAAACTCAGGAAACTCAATGGGTGTTGCCGCTTGGGGCCGTCTTGGACGTCTCTTGGGCCATCTTGAGGCATTATTGGGCGTCTTGGGCTGACCTTTGGGCCTCGTGGCCGTCTTTCTGGCCGCTTGGGGGTCTCTTGGCCCGTTTGGAGGCCCTCTTGGGCCCGAAAAATGCACGCGCCACCACTTTGCAAAGCCCAAGGGGCACGCGGAACCCCCGGGAGATTTGAGCTGCATGGATAATCGGCTTGTGGGCCGGAGGGCCAGGAGGCTACACGTATGAGCCCTTGATGGTGCACGGCACGTTTCTGCGCCCGCCTTGCAGCGCGTTTGCAGCAGAAGCCATAGCGGTCGACGGAACTTCGAAGGAAGTTGCCTGTCTTCTTCACACATAGGTATCAAACGGCTGTAGTCTAGGCTGCTTGCGCCGCGCCAAAAACAAAAAGAAATAGTGAGTGAGGATTAAGGCTTAGAGGACTGGGCGCAGGACCTGAGAACACGCCCACTCCGTGCCCAGCGGCACGGTGGCGGATCAATGACGCGTTGCCGTTGATAGCCAGTAAGCGTGTTTCTCCTTCGTTTTTTGCCCGAAGGCCCAGTGCCTCTTGGGCAGTATCACGTTGATGGGTTCTCCGCAGCGGCGCGTCACTGATACTGTTTACTGTCAGGCTCCCCGACGTTCTCGTCCTCTGCCCACCGCCCTCGCGAAGGCGGCCGGGCGAAGGCGGCCAGGATCGGCCGGCACCGGTGCGTTCCCCCCCCCCGGTCTGGGTCTGGGGCTGCGGCCCGGGGGCCAGGGGGCGTTTCAATGGGGACATCCTCAAACAAGAGGCATGTGTGCACCAGTCGATTTGTCCAGGCTTCCCGTGCCTCACCTGTTGTTTTTTAGCGTCGCGCGCTGCCCACCACCTCGTGAGCAGTGTCACGTCGATGGGTTCTCCGCAGCGGCGTGTCCTTGATACTGTTTGGGCTCCCTGACGTTCCTCCCTCCCTCCTCCCTCCTCCCTCCTCCCCTCCCTCCTCCCTGCTCACTCCTCCCTCCACCCCCCCCCCCTCGCCTCCTCCCTCCTCCTTCCTCCTCCCTCCTCCTCCTCCCTCCTCCCCACTCCCGCCTCCCTCCTCCCTATCCTTCCTCCTCCCTGCTCACTCCTCCCTGCTCACTCCTCCTCTCCTCCTTCCTCCCTCCTCCCGCCTCCTTCTCCCTACTCCTTCCCTCCTCCTGCTCACTCCTCCCTCCTCCTTCCTCTCTCCTCCCTCCTCCTCCTCCTCCCTCCCTCCTCCCTGCGCCCTCCTCCCTGCTCACTCCTCCCTCCTCCCGCCTCCTCCTCCTCCTCCCTCCTCCTTCCTCCTCCCTCCTCCCTCCTCCCTCCTCCCCCCTCCCGCCTCCCTCCTCCCTCCTCCTTCCCTGACACCTCGCACGACTGCGAGCAGTATGGGTCGAAGTGGAGGTGCAAGCGATGCTGTCAGGTCGTCCCGTCCTCACAGCTGCTCAGATGTTGTGCCTTGCCCTGCCCTGGTCTTTCCCCAGCCGAAGTTTCGGTCGCCTCGCAGTGGTCGAAGTTCGTTTGTCGGCGAGGGGATGTCTGGATTGGCACAACTCTTGCGCACAGCACTCATCTTATACATCTCTGGCCGGAATTTTCCCTGCATTTCTGTTCACAGTGCGGCATGACTGCCACGATTGATGGCAGGTGGCTCGCCCGTAAATGCACGGCCCCCACCCCCAAAGGAACTCAAAACCTTACGCGTTTAAGTAAGGGTTTGTTTCCCTCGCACAAAGGGCCCCCGCTTGTCATCCAGCAGATCCGTGCTGGGAGAGCGGCCGAGGCGGCCAACAGTGCGAGGAGAGCTCGGGGGGAGGAAGAGGCCAGTCAAGAAGAGGGCGGAGGGGGTGGAGCGTCGTCGTCGGTCGGGGAAGGGTGCGAAACGAGTGTGCTGCGCGCCGCGCGTGCTCTCTCGCGCGCGCCGCCCCCGCCCACGGCGCTGACGGCGCTGGCTGGCGGCGCTGGAGGCAGGCGCGCCGCAGCGCCCGCCCCGCCCGAAGGGCGGCCCCGCGCGCGCCGCCCGACCTTCCTTCCTCACCGCGGGGACTCTTCTTCGGATTAGTCCCCGCCCAACTCGTTTTGTCTTGCCTGGACGTCGTCCCTTCATGGTTACTTCTGGTTACTTCCCTCCTCCTTCCCTCCTCCCTGCTCACTCCTCCCTGCTCACTCCTCCCTCCTCCCTCCTCCCTCCTCCCGCCTCCCTCCTCCCTCCTCCTTCCCTCCTCCCTGCTCACTCCTCCCTCCCTCCTTCCTCGCTCCTCCTTCCTCCCTCTGCCCACCACCCTGTGAGAAGGTGATCCCGGGCTGGAGCGAGGGCGTGCGCATGATGCGGGAGGGCGAGGTCCGCAGGCTTCACCCTCGCGCGCGCGCGGGCGCGGGCGGCCGGAGCGCAGGCTCGCTGCAAGGCAACGCTAGAGGGGGAGGAAGAGGGGGAGGAGGAGGAGGAGGAGGAGGAGGAGGAGGAGGAGGGGGAGGGGGAGTTGGAGGAGGAGGAGGGGGCGGAGGCGGAGGAGGAGGAGGAGGAGGAGGAGGAGGAGGAGGAGGAGGGGGAGGAGGAGGAGGAGGAGCCACGAGGAGGGAGGAGGAGCCAGGAGGGGCGAGGGGGGGGGTACGCAGGGAGAGGAGAGAAGCGAGGGGGGGAGTTGGGAGGGGGGGGCAAGGGTTAAGTCGGGCCTGTCCCTCTACAGGAGGAATATGCAAAAAAAAATCAAGAGACAGTACGGGGACGATTTTTTTGCAGTTTTGATTCTATGTTATTACGGGTATTCATTTTGGTTCGTCCAAAATCCGCCCGGAGGGGAACACGCCCGACCTAACGCTAGGGTCGGGCATTGATAGAGCGCCCACCCAGACAAGTTGACATTGGAAATCTGTAGCAGCTGTACTCGACACTGGCATTCGAGTTCGCCGGTGCGGTCCTCAGCCGGCTTGGCGGACCGACGGTGCGCCTCGCTGGATACACTCGGCTGTTCTTGGACGTGGATTAGCTACCCCGCTGGGGTCCATGCGGAATGCGGTGCCGTGCGCATGTGGAGTGCTCTTGGCAGCTGTCACTGAAGGGCGTTTTGCTAGCTGGTGTTTTGTAGCTCTTCGAACGCTGGTGGGGGGGTAGGCTCAGCGTCAGAGGTTCTCGGGCGCCCTGTCCCAGTTCAGGGATGGCAAGACGGGTTCGAGCTTCGAGGTTCGCTTTACGGAGGTGTTTGATCGTCCTGGGGCGTCCTCGTGTCCACGGCTGGATCCGCCTCGAAATTCAGGTCAGAACGCACCCCAGGAGAGGTCCAGAGATAGATGTTTGAGTTCTCATCAGGCTCGGGAAGCAACGTTTCGGGTTCAAGGTTTTCGTTTTTTTTTCTGAGGGTCGATGTGGTCTTTCAGCCTCGGGGTGCCTTCTAGCAGCTACGCCTCGCTGGGAGCGTTCGAGGGGTGCCCGAATCGTCCCGAGCGGCCGCCAGATGCCAGAGTTATGACCCGAAGTTTTGAAGGGTTGTAGTTTAGACGCGTCGCGCATTGTCAAGAGATTTGCACGATCGTCGGTGTCATGTTGGTTGCTCACGTGTGGTGATCAGCTTCTCGGCAGTACCCGCTAGCAGCCAAGCTCAACATGGTAATGATGTTTTTGCCCACGCGGTCAGGAGGAGGAGGAGGAGGAGGAGGAGGAGGAGGAGGAGGAGGAGGAGGAAGGGGAGGAGGAGGAGGAGGAGAGAGGAGAGGGAGGAGGAGGAGGAGGAGGAGGAGGAGGAGGAGGAGGAAGACGAGGAGGAGGAGGAGGAGGAGGAGAAGGAATGCACGAATGAGAGAGAGAGGGAGAGGATTCTTACTCGAAGACGCACACGCACGCACGCACGCACGCACGCACGCACGCAAATTGTCAGGCCAGGGTGCTTCTGAGATACCCTCCCACCGTGGCCGAGTGGTACAGCCTGGGCGCCCGGAGGCCCCTCTCGGTTACGAGGGGCCTGATCTGTTGGGCCCCCCAGTGCCCTCCTTGGAACCATCTTACAGTGGAGGCCCACGCCAAGAAACACCTTGCTTGCCTCCAGGGTGCCCTGGGTGTCGATGGTTTTGCGATGGAACGCGTGGGTATCCCCACGCCAGAAATGCATGGACGCCCTGGGCTCTCAGGGTTGGGTTTCTTGTGGAAGGTTTCTGGCGGTCTGGCCCCTGCTGTACATTTTTGGAGCTCCGCGCGGATTTCTTGGATCGGCGCTGGGGCCCCCTGCGCCTCCGGCGCCGCCTCTGGTGCGCTCCGGCAAGTCTGTTATCCCTTCGCCTGTTCTCGTCATCCTGTCCCTCCTCCTCTCCCTCCCCCCCCAACTTTCCTTCTATCCCTCCTACTTTCCTACGGGAACAAACAATGACATAAACATAAGAACTCGGAGCTCCGCGCGGATTCCTCGGATCGGCGCCTGGGGCCCCCTGCGGCGCCTCCAGCGCCGCCTCTGTCGCGCTCCGCGCGCCAGGGAGAGGGGGTTCAACGCTGATCCAAGAAATCCGCGCGGACCTCCAAGAAATGATGATTGTGCCGTTTCTTTTCCTTTACGAATCAGATCTTCCGCTCCGATTTTGGTTTGCGGTCCTGAGCGTAGGGGCTGGGAGGAGGGGGGGGGGAGGAGGGGGGTCCGTCGCCGATAGGTCGGCGAGAGGCCCTCGACAGCGAAAAACCGGTCGTTCCCGGGCGCGTTGGGGCACCCCGGCCCCCATCGGCGAGGCATGGGCGAGGAATGGTCGATGCTCCCGCCCCCGCCCCTGAGAGCAAGCGCCCCCCCCCCACCCCTGCGAACCCCACCCCTGCGGGCCCGCTCGGCGCTGGGGCATCAGGCACCCCCGGTGGGGTTCGCGTGGCTGCGGACGAGCCTAGAATTCTGAGTCCCCGCTGGCGTTGAGTCGGGCGTGTCCTTCTACAGGAGGAATGTTCAAAAATAGTCGAGAAATACAGTCGGGGCCCTGAAGAAGGAACCCTTTTCGTTGGGGAGGGGCTCCGCGTTCCTTAAGTGTTTCGCAGCTTGCCTCAGGTTTTCCTTCTGCTTTCGATCGGAAATCGAAGTTCAACTTATGGAAAATAGGGGCCTCGTTCCTTATTTAGGGTTCCTTAGGTCAACGCCCCGACTGTAGTCTGGGGACGATTTTTTGAATACATTTTTGTATATTTAGGATACTTTTGATTCTTCGCCCAAGATCCATCCGCCAGAATGGGGACATGCCCGACCTGACGCTGACGTTTCAGAAGTCTCATCTGCGTGGGCAGGGTTCGCACCTGGTTTGATGATGATGCTCCAACCTACTTCAAGCCTTGATCACCAGAAAAAAAATCATGCACCAGGGAAGTATACTCCGAACCGGGAGG